GAAGCAATGTCCATTCTTTATTGTCCCTACGTGGATCGTCGCAATGGCCGTTTTTTCGCCATGTTTTCTTGCTTATAAACTTGTTGAATACCCTGGGGGAATGAGGTGCTCAAGTCTGACTGACTCTGAGGGGAAGAAAACAATAATGTGCCCCCTGTCCGACTGCAAAAAGGGAGGGTTCGTGGCGTTGAGACACGATGGTGTTCGCAACCTACTTACCTCACTTATTGGTAAGGTTTGCACCAACGTTGAAGTCGAACCACAACTACAACCTCTCGGTAATGAGCGATTCAACCTCAGAGGTGCGGTAACAAGCCCGGAGGCAAGACTGCATTTGAAGGCAGGGGTCTTTTGGTCCTGTGGAGTTACAGCATTTTTTGATGTCAGAGTAACACATGTTAACTCCAAGTGTAACCAGGGAAAAGCAACATCCACAATCTCTAAGGAGCAGGAGGAGGAGAAAAAGCGGAAGTACCAAGAAAGGGTGCTGGAAGTTGAAATAGGATCTTTTACTTCCCTAGTTTCTGGAACCAACGGTGGGATGGGAGCCGACTGCAACTGCTTTCTCAAACGCCTAGCTGAGAAACTCTCAGAAAAGAACGAGGAACCTTACCACAATAATATTATACTTGGATTAGAACACTGCTTTCTTTTGAGATTTTAAGATCGGTTAACACACATGCGTAAGAGGTTCCAGGACACCCTTCCTCAAAATTCCACAAGGGGATTTCATCGATGACTGCCGGTTAAACGCTAGCCGAGGGTGTTTCCACAGCTTTCCACTAATTTTAGAAAGTGATAATGGCGTGAGCTTGTAAGTTAGTATTTTAGGATCTTTTTAATATTTTTATTTCATCAAAATTTTAGTATATGATAGTGGAATGTAAATTGGTCATGTGATGACTGCCGTTTAAAAGCCAGCCAAGCTTTTGACTGTCCGCTAATTTTAGAAAGTCGATAATAGGGTGAGCTTGTAAATTAGTGTTTTAGGATCTTTTAATATTTTTATGTCATTAAAAGTTTAGTCTATGATAGTGCAATGTAAATTGGTCATATCGTGAGCTGACATAACTACAGTATCGCGCAGTCAAAGTCCTCGTCCCCAGGTGTTTTATGTAATAATGAATTCGAAACAACAGTTGCTCTCAGTTTGATCCTTGTTGTTTGGCTGGTTAGAAATGTTTTTCATTATATTAATTGTTTACACAGTAATTTTCAAGGAGTTATAATAACTCCTCTAGTGGGGTTAATTTAACTCCTTACAGTGGACTTATTTTTTGGGGAGTTATTTTTCACTCTAAAAAGGAGTTTAAAGAACTCTTTTTCAGGAGTAAAAATGACCCCAGATATTGAGGAATTAAAATAACCCCCAAAAAGGAGTTATCCTGTACCTAAAATCTTTACTCCACTTTCAGAGTTAAAGTAACTCCAAAAAGAGTAAAAAACAACCCATGTAAGGAGTAAAAATAACCCCATTTTCGGAGTTATTTTAACTTCAGACTGAGAGTAAAAAGAACTCTTTTTCAGGAGTAAAATTACTCCAAACTTGGAGTTAAGTTAGGAGCTGAAGTAACCCCCAAAAGGAGGTTATCTTTACTCCATTTTTGGAGTTATAATAACTCCCTAAAAATTACTGTGTACAAAGCACCAACTTTGAGAAAACCGATAATTGTGTTGATCAAAAACATGGCCATGTCCGATCTGCTCTTTGCAATTTTCAGTTTCCCTGCTAACCTGGCTCGGTTGCACAGCTCCTGGTTTATTGGTGGTATCCTTGGTCAGGCCTTCTGCAAGATACAGACTTTTCATGGAGATATTTCCTTGAAAGTTTTGATTCAGATCCTTGTTCTGATAACAGTGGATCTATTTGGAAGTGTCGTAATTCCACTTCGTTTCCCTCTCATAACTAGCAAGCAGTGTCCATTCTTCATTGTCGCTACCTGTATCGTCGCAATTGCGATTCCTCGGTCACATCTTGTTGCTGTTAAACTTGTTTAATACCCTGGAGGGATGATGTACAAGAATCAGTGGCAGGAAGCCTTCAAGGTAACCAAATATGCAAATTACCTCCAAGCAAGTGCTATATTGTGTTTTTCTACATCCCTCCAGTCTTCTTGGTGATTCTTTACTTCTGGCCCATCGACCAGGTGGACAGTTCAGTAGCCAACGCTGAGGAACAACGCACATGTGAGGTGCTTAAGATAGCCGTTACTACCGTTGTAGTGTTTCTCATTTGCTGGATACAGGTGACCATTAATCTGGTATTAGTTGATTTAGCAACGGAAAAGTTTTATTCTATACTATTGATTTATCTGTCTCATTTTTATCAGTAACTACCACCAAACTCTTAAGAGACATTTGCTGGATACAGGTGNGGTCAGGCCTATTGCAAGATACAGACTTTTCATGGAGATATTTCCTTGAAAGTTTTGATTCAGATCCTTGTTCTGATAACAGTGGATCTATTTGGAAGTGTCGTAATTCCACTTCGTTTCCCTCTCATAACTAGCAAGCAGTGTCCATTCTTCATTGTCGCTACCTGTATCGTCGCAATTGCGATTCCTCGGTCACATCTTGTTGCTGTTAAACTTGTTTAATACCCTGGAGGGATGATGTACAAGAATCAGTGGCAGGAAGCCTTCAAGGTAACCAAATATGCAAATTACCTCCAAGCAAGTGCTATATTGTGTTTTTCTACATCCCTCCAGTCTTCTTGGTGATTCTTTACTTCTGGCCCATCGACCAGGTGGACAGTTCAGTAGCCAACGCTGAGGAACAACGCACATGTGAGGTGCTTAAGATAGCCGTTACTACCGTTGTAGTGTTTCTCATTTGCTGGATACAGGTGACCATTAATCTGGTATTAGTTGATTTAGCAACGGAAAAGTTTTATTCTATACTATTGATTTATCTGTCTCATTTTTATCAGTAACTACCACCAAACTCTTAAGAGACATTTGCTGGATACAGGTGACCATTAATCTGGTATTAGTTGATTTAGCAACGGAAAAGTTTCATTCTATACTATTGATTTATCTGTCTCATTTTTATCAGTAACTACCACCAAACTCTTAAGAGACTTGTGAATTTCTGTGATGCAGTGCAAGATTAACTTTTGAAACCTTTTAAATCCGGTTGTAGTGGTTCGTGAAAAAATAAAGAATAAAAATAAATAAATAAATAAATAGAAGGGGACGTTCAGTAATAATTACCAATTGCATAAAATAACAGCGAGTTCATTGAATTTTAAGAAGTGCATGCAAATCATGTTTTCTACAGCAACTTAACCAAATTTATTTTATTTATTTTAACGCATTTTCTCCGTAAAGTACGCCCAAAAACGCCAATTGAAGCTGGTAGAGCCGTTCAATTATAAAAGATCGCCCTGGATGGTTTATGATAGGAGATCGACGCACGAACTTTGAAACCTAATTCAAATACTAAGCACGTAGTTATCTATGTTCCTGTCACGAACCAAGACGAGGATTTCAGCAGAAGTGAAAGAAGAGGTCAGGGTTCTGTGGCGGTTCTTCACTTTAAAGACAACTGATGGGTTTGAGTTGAGGTGCAATAGAGTAAACTCAGCTGCAGCTCGTATATAAAACAACAGCTGCCGGTGGAACTGTTAGGTTGATAACAACAAAGAAAGTCTTTCAATACCCAGAGTCATCTTAAGTCCTTCAGCCAGTTCTCCGTTCATGTCATAACCACAACGACCCCGAACACCTGCCCATTCACCGGTGCATGCCTTCTAAGCAAAAAAACACAAAACAAAAACAAAACAAAACAAACGAAAACAAAAACAACAACAACACTTTATTTCACCCCATAATATACAAGAAATAAAAATTTATAACAATAGTACAGACGATGATAGGGGAGCTGCCTGCTCGAAATAACCTATGAGTTAAAAATGGCTGGCAGCCAGTTAAAAGAAAAGATGTTTAAATGTTTAGGTCAGGGGCACAAGAACATCTTGTCCGCTGACCGCTGACCGCTGACCACCATTCAAAACAAAACAAAATATAAAATGGTCTTGTTGTAAATAAGTTATCTATAAAATAGCTAGAATACACATAGGAGAGAAAGGAAAAACAGACGCTTGTGAATAATCCTGTTCACCGTTTTTTAAAATTTATCATAATCACTACTAACAGTGACAATTTTTTTTTTATTCTATAACCAACCTTGTGCTATCCCAGTTGCGGATCCAGGGAGAGCCCCCTATTTTATAGATCGAACTGAGGCCCGAAGGGCCGAAAGAATGATTAATAATTTTAACACCAACGCATTGTTCAGAAGTTCGATTGAAATGAAACACTCGGGGGAAGTTTTTGAAGCTGTTCAAAACACTCACAGCACGTGTTTTATTACTGATGTTCGTCTTATTACTTAAAATACCCTAGCGTTTAAGCGTTTGTTTAGTTGCAAATAAAATGAAAAAGGTACTAAGAAATCTCAGTTGTCGTAATGTTGTAAAAAGAAAGCTTTAAGCGAGGTGTATGTATGTTTTCTAGTATTCACCATTTCAAACGCGAAGCCAGCTAAGAAATCAAGAACATGAGTTTAGAAGGATCAAACTACTTGAATAATTTATAAGTCCCATTGCATGCGCTATGAGCCTTTTCATTTTTTTGGAGGAGTGTGGTTCAAAATTCTGGTTGAATTAAATCGGGGTGACTTTATGATTAATGAAAAGAAAATGAAGAAATGATCGTCGCAGTGAACTCAATTTATGCAATTGCGTAAAGATTCTTGAAAAAAATTCAGGCGTGCAATTTGCGGTTGTTTGTTCATTCTTCGAAATTCATCCTCGCCGAAAAGAATGTACATATATGCTTTAAAATCTCTGATATACATGTAGATCAACTCATTCTTGCACTAATATTCAGATTTGGGGATGTTTTGGTGCAAAAAATTTAGCCGTATCCGTGTCATAAACAGATATAAAGACCCTCATTAAACATAAATTTCCTTTGTCTTTTGTTTATGGATTATTAACTTTTTTTGAAAGAATCGATGTCACTGCCTTGTGCAATATTTGTACCAACTTTATTTTAGGTAACATTTGAGAGAGCTTAAGGGGGCTATGTCATGACGATCTTGCAATATTGCTGCTTTACCTCAATTCTATGCTTGAAATTAATAAAACGAGACCGATGATGATTATCATTGTACAGAAATAATTTTGAATTATTGTCTGACTACAATTGAAAAAAAACAAAAAAAACCTTTTTTTAAGATGATATCTCGGAAACATTCCAGAGACATGGTCGTTTAATGGAAATTCAGTTAAAAGGCAGCATAATAAGCCTCTTTAGCCTGAATGTTTTGTTTTCCCAATTAAGGCCCCATGGAAATTTGACCCTTTCCACGCACGTATGCACGTGAAAAAGACGAAGTTTGAAAGGAAACGTCCTCTTGAGTATTAACACATACCTGTGTTGGGAAAACAAAACAAACAAGCTGAAGAGCTGGTCTATTATCGACACGTAGCAACACTTAAGAGTAAGGGCCTGTTTACATGAAAGTGGGAAACCACAGGTAGGTGAGGTAACATGTGGCGGGTTACCCCACCTAACATGTAAACGAGATGACATTAAACTGAGAGATTATATGGACAGGCGGGTTACCCTACCTAAGCGGGATACCTTACCCGTGGCCTGGGGTCCCCCACCTTCATGTAAACAGGCCCTAATACTATTCCAAAACTGTCCAGTAAATTCAATCCGAATTAGCATTGATCTATTGCTTTTTTAAAGTGGATGTTACAACACGCTGATTTGAAACTAATATTAAGCTTTTACAAACAGTCATGGCGTTCGATCGATGCACTTCAGTTGGATAATGCATTTGCATAGAAATTTCTGCCCAACATTTGTTATATTTTGCTGCTATATTTTTGTTGTTTAAACTTATTCAATCAACACATTTTAACGCATTATTTAGCAATTATATTGAAATGAGATACTCCGGGGGCGTTTGAATCTGTTCAAAGCACTCACGGCACGAAACAAAGCACGATTTTAGAAGGATCAAAGTACTTTGTATAGGTAATAGCATGATTTGTAGTGATATTTGGCATAAATACCACGAGTGATATTTCGAAATTGTTGTACGTTGTTGAGACAATTTTGAAATATCACGAGTGGTATTTATGCCAAATTATGCTATTATTTGTTCATACTACTACCCGCAAAGGTTTTGTAATTTTCACATGTAGCTATTTCAAATTAAGCTGAAATACCACTGCTCTAAGCCAATCAAATTGCAAAAATAGTAGTATAATCCCTTGAATACTTTGCAAGTTTCATTGAATTTTTATTTACGTTTTGATAGTCAGTCACGTACTTTGCATTGTGCTATGCGGCCTTTTATTTTTTTGTGGAGTGGGTTTAAAATGCCGCTTGAATTAAATCAGGGTTGCTTTATTCATCCTCACCGAAAAAAAAAAGTACGTATTAAATGAGTTGTCAATTGTTCTACCTAGAGACTAGTGACTCTCCTGTCAATAATTTTGATTTCAACTTTCTGCTTTCAATTTAAACTTTTTGCATTGTTTGGGATTAACAGACGTGCTCTCAGCAAAAGAGCGCTCTAAAATATTTCAATGTATATTATTAAACATCGAACGGATTTCTATTCATAGCATCATTTCCTTCTGCAATGTTAGTTCAATTATTTTTTACCTTCTTTATCATAAGTATCATCTAAGAGAGCCAAAAGGGGCTATGTCATGAGGATATTGATGTATTTACTAGCTCCATTCTGTGGTTAAGTCATTACACAGTAATTAGTCATGGTTCGTACAACTTCAGACAAACAAATTTCGAGGACTATTCAAAGATTTTTTAAGGCCAAATTACAGTTTTTTAAAGGACTAACTAATGATTTATTTATTAAATTAGCCTTCTTTAACCCCCTTTGATGCAAAATGACTGGGTATGACTTGCAATTGCATGTGAGGTACAGAAATAGCATTTGAAAAAAGGGAGCAGAAATAAAATGTTGTTCATGCACAAAAATGTTCTAACGCTACCTGTGAGCTTTACAGGTTCTTAAACCAGGGATGAGCCAAAGGTGTCTGACGTAGACAAGGTTGTATATTCCAAGGACTTTTCAAGACCAAATATAGAAATCAAGACAAGTACTTTTCAAAGACCTTAACTGAATTCTAGCACTTTTCAAGACGACTAGTCAAATTCAAAACCTTTTCAAGATTGTAGAAAACATGTTAGTGCCTTTTCTCATACAAAAAAAAAGGGTAGCACAGGGTGAAATATAGTCCCGTTTTACGTGCAAATTTTGACAAATTTCCGTATCACGTGCTTTATAAATCAATTTTCATTTGGAAAAAGGAACAGAAATAAAATATTGTTCATGCACAAAAATGTTTTAACACTACCGGTGAGCTTAAGCACAAGTTCTTACACTAAGGATGAACCAAATTATCCTCAGAAAAAGGTGTCTGGCGTAGACAATTTTGTATATTTCAAGGACTTTTCAAAGACGACTAGTAAAATTCAAGACTTTTTGAACATTGTAAAAACTATGTTAGTGCCTTTTCCCTGACAAAAAAAAGGTAGCAAAGGGTGAAATATGGTCCCTTTTTACGCTCAAATTTTGACAAATTTCAATTTTCCTATCACCTGCTTTATAAACCAATTTTCATGAGGCACGACTGTCCCGCCCGTTAATCAAAGAGGGTACGAACCGAGACCACAGTCATTGTGGATCACACTTCGACGGTTGTCATATTGAAATACGTCAAAGATTACACTGACCGCAGTTGGCAGTATTCGCTCACAATTAAATACAGTGACGCCAGAAGAGTTGTCGATGGTTGAATATTAAAAATATACAATATATTAAACCATTATTTGAACTGTAGATGTTTTTCAGTGGAAACAAGCCTCAAGAGAAGGAACACAACTGTCGAGAAGTCAGTAAACATGAACACAACAGTAAATGGATCAAGTTCCTGGAGCTGCTCCAGTCTGATAAATCCAGAAGTAGGAAAAATTGGAGCAACAGTTGCTTATAGTTTGTGCCTCGTTTTCGCGCTGGTTGGAAATTTTCTCCTCGTATTAATAGTTTACAAAACACCGACTTTGAGAAAACCGATTAATCTGTTGATTGCAAACATGGCCATGTCCGACCTGCTCTATCCAACATTTCTGTTTCCTGTTCAACTCGCAGAGATGCACGTTGGCTCGTGGTTTATTGGTGGTACTTTTGGTCAAGCCTTATGTAAGCTACACATTTTTCTTGCAGATGCTTCTTCGTTTGTTTCGATTCAGAGCTTAGTTCTGATGGCAGTGGATCGATTTGGAGCTGTTGTAGTTCCACTCCGCTCTCGTCTCATAACTAGAAAGCTGTGTCCATTCTTTATTATCGCTACGTGGATCACCGCAATGGCCGTTCTTTCGCCATTTCTTGTTGCTAATAAAGTTGTTAAATACCGAGAACAACTGATGTGCGTAAGTCTGTGGATGGAAATCTTCGGAGGCACATTTGCAAATTACGCCCTAGCAGTTGTCGTCGTGTTTTTCTACATCCCCTTTGTCCTCGTGGTGGTACTTTACTCTATCATCTTGATGAAGCTTAAAATGCAAGCCCATCCAGGTGAACAGTCAGTCAGCGGTGAAGAACAACGCACTAGAAGAAACAGAAACGTTCTTAAGATGGTCGTTGCTATCGTTGTAGTGTTTTTCATTTACTTGATACCCTATTTCAGTAACTTCGTGATAGCTAGATTTACTGCACCGGACAGTTCCATTTGGTTTTCATGTAGTTTTGTTCTATACGTAATTGTCACCCGTTATATATCTTACACAAACTGTGCTATCAACCCGATTATCTGCCTCATTTTTAGCAGTAATTATCGCCAAGCACTTAAGAGACTTGTAAATTGCTGTGATACAGTACAAGATTAACTTTTAGAAAACTTAAAGCTGGGTCTAAAGCTGCTATAGAACAGGTTCAATTTTTCCTTGATAAAACGTTGTGCAACTTTAGAGCAGCGTTTCTACATGATCGTAGGATTGACTGAAATATGACAATAATAGTTCAATCCGCAAGTACAGAGAAAACGAGTGTTGGACAAAAATTCAAATGGAACACCATCACTGAAACGTGATCATTAATAATTGTCGATCGTAAAAATGAAAATAAGTAAAAAATGACGCAGAGATAGTGTCAATCAAGAAATCCCCTGTGTATATCCATTTCTTGGTTATTGTTCTTGCTCGGACACCCGCAATATTTGGCTTTTATTTGAAGAAGAATAGAACTTCACGCGACTAATAAGACTTCAGTCTATAAAAAACGGTCTAAATATTATCCGAATAAGCATGTTAGTATTTGCTTTTTAACGTTTTAAAATGGATGTTTCGACATGCTTATTTGAAACTAATTTTAAGCTTTTACAACTCTTCATGGCGTTCGAATCGATAGATGTACTTCAGTTGGATAAGGCATTTTGCATAGAAATTTCTGCGCAACATTTGTTATATTTTGCTGCTTTTGTTGTTTAAAGTGTGAAATTTGAAACAATTTTGAAATATCACCCGTGGTATTTATGCCAAATATCACGTACAAATCATGCTATTATTTGTTTATACTACTACCCACAAAAGGTTTGTAATTTTCAAATGTAGGTATTTCAAATTAGGCTGAAATACCACTGCTGCATCTAAGCCAGTCAAATTGCAGAAATTTCTCATGTAGTGGTATAATCCCTTGAATACTTTGCAAGTTTCATTGAATTTTTATTTATGTTTGATAGTCAGTCACGTACTTTGCATGCGGCCTTTTATTTTTTCGTGGAGTGGGTTCCAAATGCCCCTTGAGTTAAATCAGGGTTGCTTTATTCATCCTCACCGAAAAAAAAGTACATATTAAATGAATTGTTGATTGTTCTACCTAGAGACTAGTGACTCTCCTGTCAATAAATTTGATTTCAACTTTTTGCTTTCAATTCAAAATTTTTGCATTTTTTGGGATTAACGGACGTGCTCTCAGCAAAAAGAGCGCTCTAAAATGTTTCAATGTATATTATTAAACATCGAACGGATTTCTATTCATAGCATCATTTCCTTCTGCAATATTAGTTCAATTATTTTTTTACCTTTTTTATAATAAGTATCATCTAAGAGAGCCAAAAGGGGCTATGTCATGAGGATATTGATGTATTTACTAGCTCCATTCTGTGGTTAAGTCATTACACAGTAATTAGTCATGGTTCGTACAACTTCAGACAAACAAATTTCGAGGACTATTCAAAGATTTTTTAACGACAAATTATAGTTTTTTAAAGGACTAACTAAAGATTTATTTAGTAAAGTAGCATTCTTTAACCCCCTTTGATGCAAAATGACTGGGTATGACTTGCAATTGCATGTGAGGTACAGAAATAGCATTTGAGAAAAAGGAACAGAAAGTAAAATGTTGTTCATGCACAAAAATGTTCTAACGCTACCTGTGAGCTTTACAGGTTCTTAAACCAGGGATGAGCCAAAGGTGTCTGACGTAGACAAGGTTGTATATTCCAAGGACTTTTCAAGACCAAATATAGAAATCAAGACAAGTACTTTTCAAAGGCCTAAACTGAATTCTAGGACTTTTCAAGACGACTAGTCAAATTCAAAACCTTTTCAAGATTGTAGAAAAGATGTTAGTGCCTTTTCTCATACAAAAAAAAAGGGTAGCACAGGGTGAAATATAGTCCCGTTTTACCTGCAAATTTTGACAAATTTTCCGTATCACGTGCTTTATAAATCAATTTTCATTTGAAAAAAGGAACAGAAATAAAATATTGTTCATGCACAAAAATGTTTTAACACTACCGGTGAGCTTAAGTACAAGTTCTAACACTAAGGACGAACCAAATTTTCCTCAGAAAAAGGTGTCTGGCGTAGACAAGGTTGTATATTCCAAGGACTTTTCAAAGACGACTAGTAAAATTCAAGACTTTTTGAACATTGTAAAAACTATGTTAGTGCCTTTTCCCTGACAAAAAAAAAGGTAGCAAAGGGTGAAATATGGTCCCTTTTTACGCGCAAATTCTGACAAATGTCAATTTTCCTATCACCTGCTTTATAAACCAATTCTCATGAGGCACGAATGTCCCGCCCGTTAATCAAAGAGGGTAAGAACCGAAACCACAGTCATTGTGGATCACACTTCGACGGTTGTCATATTGAAATACGTCAAAGACTACACTGACCGCAGGTGGCAGTATTTGCTCACAATTAAATACAGTGACGCCAGAAGTGTTGTCGATGGTTAAATATTAAAAATATACAATATATTAAACCATTATTTGAACTGTAGATGTTTTTCAGTGGAAACAAGCCTCAAGAGAAGGAACACAACTGTCGAGAAGTCAGTAAGCATGAACACAACAGTAGATGGATCAAGTTTTTGGAACTGCTCCAGTCTGATAAATCCAGAAGCAGGAAAAATTGGAGCAACAGTTGCTCTCAGTTTGAGCCTCGTTTTCTCGCTGATTGGAAATTCTCTCATCGTATTAATTGTTTACAAAACACCAACTTTGAGAAAACCGATTAATCTGTTGATTGCAAACATGGCCATATCCGACCTGCTCTATCCAACATTCCTGTTCCCTGTTCTACTGGCAGAGATGCACGTTGGCTCGTGGCTTATTGGTGGTACCCTCGGTCAAGCCTTATGCAAGCTACACACTTTTCTCGCAGATGCTTCCTCGTTCGTTTCGATTCAGAGCTTAGTTCTGATAGCGGTGGATCGATTTGGAGCTGTTGTGCTTCCACTCCGCTCTCCCCTCATAACTAGAAAGCTCTGTCCATTCTTTATTATCGCTACGTGGATCACCGCGATGGCTGTTCTTTCGCCATTTCTTGTTACTTATAAACTTGTTAAATACCAAAGACGACTGATGTGCGAAAGTCTGTGGATAGAAGCCTTCGGAGGGACATATCCAAATTACGCCCTAGCAGTTGTTGTCGTGTTTTTCTACATCCCCTTTGTCCTCGTGGTGGTACTTTACTCTATCATCTTGATGAAGCTTAAAATGCAAGTCCAGCCAGGTGAACAGTCAGCCAACGCTGAAGAAAAGCGCACCAGAAGAAACAGAAACGTGCTAAAGATGGCCATTGCTATCGTTGTAGTGTTTTTTATTTGCTTGATACCCTGTTTCAGTAACTTTGTGATAGTTGGTTTTAGTGCACCGGACAGTTCCATTTGGTTTTCCTGTAATTTTGGTCTATACGTCATTGTCGCCCGTTATATATCTTACACAGACTGTGCTATCAACCCGATTATCTGCTTCATTTTTAGCAGTAATTATCGCCAAGCGCTTAAGAGACTTGTAAATTGCTGTGATACAGTGCAAGATTAGCTTTTGAAACTAAAAGCTAGATCTTAAGCGTTTCGTGTTAACATGAATAAATAAATAAATATTAATAATAATAACAATAATAATAATAATAATAATAATAATAATAACGATTAAAAAACTTCACTTCAAAATAATGATGGTGATGATGATGATGAAACATTATTATCGGAAATTAACGCTTGAAAAACCACTGCAAAAACCGTGAACGATCGATATTGCTCAACTTTGGAGCAAACAAGGTCGTTATCAGTCGAAAAAGATAAACGTAGAAAAAAAAGGACTACCCAGTATAGTCAAAAAGATTACTGAAAAGACTGGTCAAACAGCGTAAAAAGGCAATATTGTGACTGGCCAATACCAGTCTTTATCAGGTTCATTAGGAAAAAAACACGAATTTACAGAACATATGCTGCTGTAAAATAATGGACGGAAGTTGCATGGTATGACGTGGTAAGGTGTAAATGAGAGCTGATAATGACCTTGCAATTTATAAGTTTACCGGTATTATTTAAGTCTGTCATTTTTTTGTTGTTGTTTGATCAGTTTGCAGTTAGTAGTCTTTCTTAAACAAGATAGTAATTAATAATTATTATCTTGTTTACTCTTGCATCTAAAAATCAGGGTAAGTTGTGAACCAAACTGCTTAAAGAACAGGTTCGATTTTCTCGTTAATGAAACGTTGTGCAAATTTAAGAGCAGTGTTTCTAAATAATCGTAGAATTGAGTGAAATATGACAATAAAAGTGCTTCAATCCCCAAGTAAAGAGAAAACGAGTGTTGGACAAACATTCAAATGGAACACCATTACAGAAACGCGCTCATTGATAATTGACCACTCCAGAAAATACCATAACATACCATAACGCTCTTTGTTTGCCACCCCAAAATTTTGCATAAGCATTGTCTTCAGTTTCCCTGCAAGAGAAACTGAAAACAATGCTTGTACAAAATTTTGGGGTGACAATAAGAGAGCATTATGATATGTTATGGTATTTTCTGGAGTGAATTGTCGATAAGTGAAAAATGACGTAGAGAGAGTGTCAATCAAGAAACCCACTGTGTATATCCCTTTTTATTCGGACACCCGCAACATTTGGCTATTATTAGAAGAAGAATTAATTTATAGAACTTCAAGCAACTAATAATACTTCAGAGTCATTACACAGTAATTAGTCATGGTTCGTACAACTTCAGACAAACAAATTTCGAGGACTATTCAAAGATTTTTTAACGACAAATTATAGTTTTTTAAAGGACTAACTAAAGATTTATTTAGTAAAGTAGCCTTCTTTAACCCGCTTTGATGCAAAATGACTGGGTATGACTTGCAATTGCATGTGAGGTACAGAAATAGCATTTGAGAAAAGGGAACAGAAAGTAAACTGTTGTTCATGCACAAAAATGTTCTAACGCTAACTGTGAGCTTTACAGGTTCTTAAACCAGGGATGAGCCAAAGGTGTCTGACGTAGACAAGGTTGTATATTCCAAGGACTTTTCAAGACCAAATATAGAAATCAAGACAAGTAATTTTCAAAGACCTAAACTGAATTCTAGGAGTTTTCAAGACGACTAGTCAAATTCAAAACCTTTTCAAGATTGTAGAAAAGATGTTAGTGCCTTTTCTCATACAAAAAAAAAGGGTAGCACAGGGTGAAATATAGTCCCGTTTTACGTGCAAATTTTGACAAATTTTCCGTATCACATTCTTTATAAATCAATTTTCATTTGGAAAAAGGAACAGAAATAAAATATTGTTCATGCACAAAAATGTTTTAACACTACCGGTGAGCTTAAGTACCAGTTCTAACACTAAGGACGAACCAAATTATCCTCAGAAAAAGGTGTCTGGCGTAGAAAAGGTTGTATATTTCAAGGACTTTTCAAGACGACTAGTAAAATTCAAGACTTTTTGAAGATTATAAAAACTATGTTAGTGCCTTTTCCCTGAGGAAAAAAAAAAGGTAGCAAAGGGTGAAATATGGTCCCGTTTTACGCGCAAATTTTGACAAATTTCAATTTTCCTATCACGTTCTTTATAAACCAATTTTCATGAGGCACGAATGTCCCGCCCGTTAATCAAAGAGGGTACGAACCGAGACCACAGTCACTGTGGATCACACTTCGACCGTTGTCATATTGAAATACGTCAAAGATTACACTGACCGCAGGTAGCAGTATTTGCTCACAATTAAATACAGTGACGCCAGAAGTGTTGTCGATGGTTGAATATTAAAAATATACAATATATTAAACCATTATTTGAACTGTAGATGTTTTTCAGTGGAAACAAGCCTCAAGAGAAGGAACACAACTGTCGAGAAGTCAGTAAGCATGAACACAACAGTAGATGGATCAAGTTTTTGGAACTGCTCCAGTCTGATAAATCCAGAAGCAGGAAAAATTGGAGCAACAGTTGCTCTCAGTTTGAGCCTCGTTTTCTCGCTGGTTGGAAATTCTCTCATCGTATTAATTGTTTACAAAACACCAACTTTGAGAAAACCGATTAATCTGTTGATTGCAAACATGGCCATATCCGACCTGCTCTATCCAACATTCCTGTTCCCTGTTCTACTGGCAGAGATGCACGTTGGCTCGTGGCTTATTGGTGGTACCCTCGGTCAAGCCTTATGGAAGCTACACACTTTTCTTGCAGATGCTTCCTCGTTCGTTTCGATTCATAGCCTGGTTCTGATAGCAGTGGATCGATTTGGAGCTGTTGTGGTTCCACTCCGCTCTCCTCTCATAACTAGAAAGCTGTGTCCATTCTTTATTATCGCTACGTGGATCACCGCAATGGCTGTTCTTTCGCCATTTCTTGTTACTTATAAACTTGTTAAATACCAAGGACGACTGATGTGCAAAAGTCTGTGGATAGAAGCCTTCGGAGGGAACACATATCCAAATTACGCCCTAGCAGTTGTTGTCGTGTTTTTCTACATCCCCTTTGTCCTCGTGGTGATACTTTACTCTATCATCTTGATGAAGCTTAAAATACAAGTCCAGCCAGGTGAACAGTCAGCCAACGCTGAAGAAAAGCGCACCAGAAGAAACAGAAACGTGCTAAAGATGGCCATTGCTATCGTTGTAGTGTTTTTTATTTGCTTGATACCCTGTTTCAGTAACTTTGTGATAGTTGGTTTTAGTGCACCGGACAGTTCCATTTGGTTTTCCTGTAATTTTGGTCTATACGTCATTGTCGCCCGTTATATATCTTACACAGACTGTGCTATCAACCCGATTATCTGCTTCATTTTTAGCAGTAATTATCGCCAAGCGCTTAAGAGACTTGTAAATTGCTGTGATACAGTGCAAGATTAGCTTTTGAAACTAAAAGCTAGATCTTAAGCGTTTCGTGTTAACATGAATAAATAAATAAATATTAATAATAATAACAATAATAATAATAATAATAATAATAATAATAACGATTAAAAAACTTCACTTCAAAATAATGATGGTGATGATGATGATGAAACATTATTATCGGAAATTAACGCTTGAAAAACCACTGCAAAAACCGTGAACGATCGATATTGCTCAACTTTGGAGCAAACAAGGTCGTTATCAGTCGAAAAAGATAAACGTAGAAAAAAAAGGACTACCCAGTATAGTCAAAAAGATTACTGAAAAGACTGGTCAAACAGCGTAAAAAGGCAATATTGTGACTGGCCAATACCAGTCTTTATCAGGTTCATTAGGAAAAAAACACGAATTTACAGAACATATGCTGCTGTAAAATAATGGACGGAAGTTGCATGGTATGACGTGGTAAGGTGTAAATGAGAGCTGATAATGACCTTGCAATTTATAAGTTTACCGGTATTATTTAAGTCTGTCATTTTTTTGTTGTTGTTTGATCAGTTTGCAGTTAGTAGTCTTTCTTAAACAAGATAGTAATTAATAATTATTATCTTGTTTACTCTTGCATCTAAAAATCAGGGTAAGTTGTGAACCAAACTGCTTAAAGAACAGGTTCGATTTTCTCGTTAATGAAACGTTGTGCAAATTTAAGAGCAGTGTTTCTAAATAATCGTAGAATTGAGTGAAATATGACAATAAAAGTGCTTCAATCCCCAAGTAAAGAGAAAACGAGTGTTGGACAAACATTCAAATGGAACACCATTACAGAAACGCGCTCATTGATAATTGACCACTCCAGAAAATACCATAACATACCATAACGCTCTTTGTTTGCCACCCCAAAATTTTGCATAAGCATTGTCTTCAGTTTCCCTGCAAGAGAAACTGAAAACAATGCTTGTACAAAATTTTGGGGTGACAATAAGAGAGCATTATGATATGTTATGGTATTTTCTGGAGTGAATTGTCGATAAGTGAAAAATGACGTAGAGAGAGTGTCAATCAAGAAACCCACTGTGTATATCCCTTTTTATTCGGACACCCGCAACATTTGGCTATTATTAGAAGAAGAATTAATTTATAGAACTTCAAGCAACTAATAATACTTCAGTCTATTCAAAAACTGTCTAAATTTAATCCGAATTAGCATGTATTTCCTTTTGAGCTCTTTAAAGTGGATGTTTCAGCATGCTGATTTGAAACGAATTTTTAGCTTTTACAAACTTTCACGGTTTTTCAAATCGATCGATATACTTCAGTTGGATAATGCATTTGCATCAAAATTTTTTGTGGAACACTTGATACATTTTGCTGCTTTTGTTGTTTAACTTTGAATATTCGATCAACACATTTTAAAAAACAAAAAACACTTTATTTAGCCATTCTATTGAAATGAGATACTCCGGGGGCGTTTGAATCTGTTCAAAGCACTCACGGCACGAAACAAAACACGATTTTAGGAGGATCAAAGTACTTTTCCCTTGAATACTTTGCAAGTTTCATCGAATTTTTATTTACGTTTACCAGCCCTTTCCCGTATTTCCAGCCTTGCATTCAGCCTCGTACCAAGCCAGTTCGCGCTATCCGAGTTACCAGAGGAGGCTTGGAACCGAGTGCGAATTTTCTTGACAAGCTTGACAGGTGACGTCACATCCGAAATCGCCGAGGATGACTGGGAACGAGGCTGCCTTGCATTCGATTTTGTTTTAATTTCCACCTCAAGTGACGCCTGACATTAGCACGTCTATACTAGAGATCCGGCGAGAACGAACCAGTCGGTTTACTTCACCCGTTGAGTAGACCTGAGCATTCAAGGGTTTTTACCAGTTTGCGATTCCGTAAAAATAATGTCAAAGCCCATTACGTTGCGTTGCAGTTACATTTAGGGACACTCTTCTCCAGAATTTTTTTTCCTCTTGTGCAGCCGGATAACTGTGAAATTTCTTTCATTTGGTTAGCTGACTGCGAACGCAAGTAGACGTTTAAACTGTGTACTTCAGTTGGATAAAGCATTTGCATAAATATTTCTGCCAAACATTTGTTATCAGTTTTGCTGCTTTTGTTCAACTTTTTTCTATCAACATGTTTTAAAACAAAAAATGCATTATTTTAGCCTGGTTTCCATATGATCGTCTGGATCGTCCCAGTCGTTTCAAAAAATTTCGAGACGATCCCTCAAAGGCAAGAGATGCGGGGTCGTCAGCGATGTCTTTGGGTGAGACAATAGAATTTTTGCGCCTGTTTCGCAAACCGAGCCAAACATAATGATGATTTTTATTCGGAGAGCGAACCTCATGCCTTACTATCGGCGTTTTCTCTCGATTTTGCGGCGTTGAGAAGCTAGAAGAGTTCCACGATGACATAGTAGACATAGTATCACGTCGAACTCGATGTCACGGATTTTCTCTAGTTTCAAATAGCGCACATACGCCACTTCGACTTCAGCGCCATCTGGGTCGAGTTTATTCTCGATTACTGGAATAAAAGTGATGATTTCTGAGATAGCCTTCGATCGTCTCAGTCATCTGAGAGCATTTCCATATGATTGCTTCAAAATTTACACGATCGTCTCGATCGTCCGGATAGAATTCAACTCTATCCACTGTCTATCCAAGTAAGTGATCGAGGGTGTCTCAATCGTCCGGGTCGTTTGCGATAGTCCGGGTAGCGTTTCAATATGATCGTTTCGATCGTCTGAACATTATTTGAGACGACTGGGATCGGACGATCGGGACAATCATATGGAAACAGGCTTTAGCAGTTCTATTGAAATGAAATACTCCAAAGGCGTTTTTAAACCTCACGTTTTTAAACCTGCTCAAAGCACTCACTGCACGTGTGTTTTATCACTGCCCCTCGTCTTTAGAACATTACTTAAAATACCCTAATATCGTCAGTTAAGCGAGGTACATGTATGTTTTCTAGTCGATTCGTCACTCAAAACGTGAAGACGGCTAAGAAATCAGACAAAAAGAACACGACTTTAGAAGGATAAAACTACTTTTTCCTTTGAATACTTTACATGTTTCATTGTGCTATATATACGGCTTTTGATTTTTTCGAGGAATCAGCGGGGTTGCTTTAAATGGAGCATGATGGCGTGCAATTTGGGTTTCAATTGTTAATTCATTCTCCATCCTCGCCGAAAAGAAAGTACATAAAGGCTTCAAAATCGCTGATATAGGTCAACTTATTCTTGCACTAGTATTTAGATTTGGGGTTACTTTAGTGGGAAAAATTGAGCCGTGTCGTTGACACTCATCAAACATCAATTTCTTTTGTTTTTTCTTTATGGGGTAATAATGAGCTTTTGAATGGAATTTAATGGACAGGAGACACGTTTCAGCGTTTTAAAAAGCAAATAACCTGACATATAGCCCCCTCAAAAGCTATACTGGAGGGGCAGGTGGGCCCTCCAAATGGGAAAATCGTGGAAGGATCAGGTTTTGCAATTTACGGCTTTATATTATTGCGTAAGTCATTTAATGAAAATTCAGCAGCTTTATTATTAACGCTCACTAGGAGTATTTATCCAAAGTTTTTACAGAAGTCCATCTATTGAATTTAGATTGAAATCAATTGTTTCGGAGATTGTATTATAGTATTATTAATTTGCTAATCAGGTATTCGACGGAGGTATTATTTATATTAAACATATATAAGCCGGCATTACTTGAACAGAAGGTGTTTTTGGAAGCAACAAAGCCTCAAGAGAACAGACCTGTGAATGAGTCAGTATAAGCATGAACACAACAGCAACTGGATCAAGTTCTTGGAGCTGCTTCAGTCTGATAAATCACGAAGCAGGAAAAATTGGAGCAACAGTTGCTTACAGTTTTATCCTTGTCGTTTCGCTGGTTGGAAATTTTCTCATCGTATTAATTGTTCACAAAACACCAACATTGAGAAAACCGATAAATATGTTGATCGCAAACATGGCCATGTCCGACCTGCTCTATCCAATATTCACGTTCCCTGTTCTTGTGGTAAAGGTGCACTTTGGCTCGTGGCTTATTAGTGGATTCCTTGGTCAGGCCTTGTGCAAGATACAGATTTTTCTTGCAGTCGTTTCCTTGTTAGTGTCTATTCAGAGCCTTGTTCTGATAACAGTGGATCGATTTGTTGCTGTTGTAGTTCCACTTCGTTCCCCTCTGATAACTAGCAAGCAGCGTCCACTCTTCATTGTCGCTACGTGGACTGTCGCGATGGCCGTTCAATTGCTATATTTTGTTGCTGTTAAACATGTTCATTATCCTGAAGGAATCATGTGCGAAAGTCAGAGGGCAGAAACCTTCGAAGGAGACACATATGCAAATTACCTCCTGGTAGGTGCTAGCGTACTTTTCTACACCCCCTTCGTCCTGTTGGTGATACTTTACTCCATCATCATGATTAAACTTAAAAAACAAGCCCATCCAGGTGAACAGTCAGCCAACGCTGAGGAACAGAGGGCAAGAAGAAACAGAAAAGTGCTCAAGATGGCTATTGCTATCGTTGTAGTGTTTTTCATTTGCTGGATACCTTTTTTCAGTAACCTTTTAATAATGTATTTTTCCTCGGACAGTTCCATTTGGTCTTACTGTAGTTTTAAAGTATACTATTTTGTCACCTACTTAATGTGTAGAGGAAACTGTGCTGTCAACCCGATTATCTGCCTCACTTTTAGCAGTAAGTATCGCAATGGTCTTAAGAGACTTGTTACTTGCAAGAGTAGTTCACTACAAGGTTAACGTTTGAAAACTGATTGGTCCAAGCGATTCGTGGAAGACTATACCAAATGTAGACTACGAGTAGTCCCCATTTTTCCTCAGGGATAGTAGAGCGAGCGAAAAGCGAGCGCGCGTGAGAAAGGCGAGACGCGGTGGGGAGAGAGAAAAGTGAGGAAAAATGGGGACTACTCGTAGTCTATACCAAATGTTAAGAACTTTACTTTTAAAAAAAAGCATGATTTCTAGAATTTCAGAAGTGAAGTTAGCCAGAGAGCTTAGAATTAGTCAACTGTAACGTGCTGCACTGTAACACTGAATAAAAACATGCACAATGTTCTTGTAACAGCTCAACGAAACCGCTGAGTTGTGTCTCTTGTAAAAATTGTCAATTTGTAAATTGGAAATTTGCACTTAGGAGTTCTTAAGAACTCGCTGAAACGTGCGGGTGTGTTCCAGACCGAATCGGAATTCGGAAGTGGTGGTTTTTAAGGAGAGGAAAACCGGAGAAAAACCTCTCGGAGAAAGGGAGAGAACTAACGACAACAAACTCAACCTACAGGCGCTGACGCCAGGATTCGAACCCAAGCCACAGTGTTTTTGGTGGGAGGCGAGTGCTCTCACCACCGCACCGCTCTTGCTCCTTAAGACTGTCTGTCAACAGTACCTGGAAATCACACAATAAAATACTTTCTCGGCACTGATAAAATAAGCCACACCACACAAAGCCTTTCTCCACTTAATACGGGCGAAATATCACCAAAACACTCGGGGGAAAAAACTCCCGCTTTTGGCAAATACTGGCTGCAGTACACATTTCTCCAACATTCTGTTATTCCGAGTTCCCGGATGCAAAGCGGCGTCTGAAAAACGCACATGAACAGCCTGGTATTAAAACAATTTTAACCAAATTGCCCCTGAACTTCCCGCAATCGCCCGTCCAGATCCACGTCCCTTCTACCTCTTGTGACGTCGTTACTTTCTTAATTGCCAAGGATAACTTTGTCTGCTAACTTGTGCAGGGTGGAGTGATCTTTCAAACCATACCAGAATGAGAAAGATTCAGTCAAGGAGGCCGGAGAAAAACCATGTTAAATCTTGTTCCACCACTCCTTACCTTTCCTTTCATCTAATCCTCTCTCCTCCGCAGAGGCCTCTTTGTGTTGTGGGAGGCAGGGGGGGGGGGGGG